GTAAATTGTTGTGTACTTGCACTCAACACAAAATATTTGATACTTATACTGGAGAAGGTGTGTACTCGTCCGTTTCTGCTTTATTAGAAAACCTGTAAAATAAACACCTTCTATCAGAAAACATATATAGAATGTATGAACTCTTGTTTCTATTTAATCTGGCAATATCCATGAGTTTATATGCAATATCTGAATGACGAGGTGAATAATATTTCGGATAGATTTCTAGAGATCGTTGATAAAAGTCGATGGTTTCATCGTACTTTCCTTGACTACTTTGAACGTTGTCCATATTATTAAAACTCTCAATAATACTCATATGAATAGAAGGATGATGACTTTCTTGAATGTCTAGTTTTCGCTGTTGATAATCAAATGCTTCGTCGTATTTTCCTTGTTTATATAGGGCATCGCTGATGTTGCTAGGGATTGTTGCAATGTCTGCTTGATGAGATGAAGAATATTTTTGATACATTATCAATGATCGTCGATGATAATCAAGAGTTTCTTCATATTTATCTTGATTATTCAGAATATTACCGATATTACAAAGACTATATGCGATGTTCAGATTACCAGAGGGACAATAGGTTTCTTGCATTGCCAGTGCTGGGTTATAAGAATCAAGGGTTTCTTTATACTCTCCTTGCTTACTTAAATTATTACCGATGTGATTGAGACGTTGAGCATAATGACTATAACAAGATGGTACTATGTTGCTTGCATGGTAAAAGCTCGTTTACAGAAATCAAATCTTTTTTTATGGAAATCAAATAAAAAATTAGATGATTGCATAGCAACAACATTACAAGATATTCGCAACATTATTGAAATAAATTATGGTAAGAAATATGAACCAGATGACGTTGCATCAATTTTAGACCTACTAAGATGTGATGAACAAGAAGGAAAACAAACTGGTTTATTTCCATCGAAAAATATAAATAAATTAATAAATAGTTATGTCAACGATATTCGATTTATGACTTGTGCGTCATTATATCCGATTAAACCTTTTACTAGTGTCTGTTTAAATTGTGGTAATAAATTAAATCTCTAATCAGGACAAGTAGTAAATGTATTTAAGAATGAAACTGTAGAGACTGGTATGATTTATCGTGATCAGTGTTGTCACAACGAATATTATCCTAATAGTTATGCTACTCAGGGCAAACGTGTGATTACAACTGACTGTGTATAGAATTGTCCATACATATACTGTGGTGGAAAAAATGTATATAAGATTGAAGTGTTAATTAGATCTTCATCGGATCTACTTTATTAAAGAAACTAGATTCTACGTTGTTTCTCGCAATTGAAAACAATATGCTTTTCTTGTGCAACTATTTTTATATTTCAATGATTCATGTTTGTTTTTCTTTTGTACATAAGCGCACTTATCTGCTCAACTTATGATATTATTTGCTGCTATAGCCGTAAATTTGGTTTTTCTGTCTTAAGCGTATATACAGAGATTGTTCTTTTCAGTTATCAATTAAAATAATAATTACATTTATGATTGCAAGCACTTCATCTCATCCAGTGGCGGCGGAACGACTGCAGTCTAGGGGAGGCTCAAAATCTTTTTTGCTCACCATATGTAAACTAAAGATGAGATCTATGATATTTTCTAAAATATTTGAGCCTCCCCAAGCCTTCCTCTTCCTTTTGTAGGGGAGGCTTAGGCCTCCCCTAGCCTAATGGGTCCGCCGCCACTGATCTCATCTGAAATGAGATGGATTTATGAGGCATTTTTCTCAAATGGAAGCCGCAAAGCTTAGAACCACCCATGTCGCGCTTTTTTAATGAATACCACCAGTATACCCCAGTATCGAAAAGTACCGTCGGTATACCACGGTAGCAGTAAATACCGGCGGTTAACCGCGGTTAATGGACAGTATTTACTAGTACCGAGGTATACCAACGGTACTTTTCGATACTGGGATATAATAATTTATCGTCGGTATACCGTCTTCTTTCCATTCACTGTTTTATTTTGCGCTTCTGAATCTGTATAATAAATACAGAAATAAGTTTAAGTCGTATAAACCCAAAAAACTTCTGTGAAATAACTCCGCATATCAATTAAATATGTATAATACCAAAACGCTCGAAAATTTAATAAATTATTAATCGTTATACGGCTTAAAGAATTTCAACAGAATACTATCGATATACCACGGTCTCAAGAAATACCGGCGGTATACTGTTAATACTGCACGGTAAAGTGGGTGGTATACCGGGTGTATTTTGCCGGTATTTAAGATAGGTGTAAGGTAATCGTTGGAAAGAGCAGATCATTTTCTACAAGGACAGATAAGTTTCTTTTAATTAACGCTAGACTGGGTAACAGAAAAAGGAACTAAACATTAGACACATATCCCTTGCTATTGGCTGACTAATAGAGACACATATTACTGTTAACGTGCTGTCACGTTACGAGATTGAAAATGTTCTATTCATATTTCAGCGAGATCACCAATGTCGGTTAGCAAAAGTTTCTCATTGAAAGTTAATTCTTGATCATTAATATCCATGGAATATTCATCACCTGATGAAATCTTCCGGATCTGAAATCTTCCGTCAACCGACGTTTGAGCGCCCGACATTTGAGCGCCGACATTTGAGCACCCGACATTTGAGCACCCGACATTTGAGCGACTCCCGAATTAGACACTGATCAATAAGAGTATTTGACGATAGAGAATGTCCA